ATTCCTGTCTGTGCTGGGAAAAGTTTTCTCCTGGTGTGAGGAAGTCCTGTTGAATTGCTCCCACTGTGGGATGACTGTGGTTCTCAGCAGTGTTGCTACTTCACAGCTGGAAGGAAGTGTGAGAGGAGCTGGGGATGCAGGCACAGGTCAAGTGGTCCATGCTGAGCAGTGTCTGTATTTCCCTTTCCCTTTCCTTTGTTAAGCACAAGCCACACCGTTTGCCTAAGCTGATCTGCTGAGAAAATCCATCTGTAGATGCCACCTTGCTTGTGGTGGTTAGAGAGGCAAATCTTTCTGTGCTCTGTTCCCAGTTCAGCCTGAAGAGAAGAAGTTGTTTGGAGACCTCATACAGTATCTGAAGGGACCTATGAGGAAGCTGGAGGGGGACTCTTGATCAGGAATTGTATTGTTAGGACAAGCAGTAATGGATTCAAACTGAAAGAGGGGAAATTTAGTTTAGATATATGGAAGAAATTGTTCCCCGTGAGGGTGGGGAGACACTGGCACAGGTTGCCCAGGGAAGCTGTGGCTGCTCCGTCCCTGGGAGTGTTCAAGACCAGGTTGGATGGGGCTTGGAGCAACCTGGGCTAGGGGAAGGTGTTCCTGCTCATGGCAGGAGGTGGAACAGGACAGGCTTTAAGGCCTCTTTGAACCCAAACTATTCTGTGATTCTATAATTCAGCTCCACTGCAGTTCCTTGGTGGCTAAAATGTGCTTCCTGGGGGCTCTTCATGAGGGTCACCCATTCCTCTGCTCAGCAGTGGGAGGAAGGGAGTAATTTTCCAAAGATGCAAGCAGAGCACACACTTTACAGGGATGGGAGCTCAGCATCACATTTTGGGCCTGAAAAATGACGTTTGGGGCTCTTGTGTCGAGGAGGCTGAAAGAGGAGCACAAGGGATAGCCATGCCAGACCCCTGTGGCATTGCTCACCGTGCCAGCAAAATAGGCAGCAGTGACCAGTTTATAACAACTGTATTCAGCTCCATTAATTCCTATTTGTATTTTGCAAAACTAAAAGTTGGCTGGCGAGCGTATTGATTCTTTGTCCCTGCATTCAATTGGGTTTTAATTGTGCTACTGCAGGGGCTCAGCCTTCCCTCCCAGCAACCCAGTGATAAATCTGCCAGGGAATCGCCGTCAACAGTAAATGTGTCTCTTAGTAGAGCTATTAATATGTCTCGTGCATTGGTTCATTGCAGCAGCCGTTAACAGGGTTTATAAGAGTGGAGATGGCAGGAAGCCAGAGGGGTTTTGGTTTTTTTTTGTCTCCCTTTTCCTCTTTTATTTCAGGGACTGCCTTGTGACGGAGGGACAAATGCTTTCAGGGACATGCGCGGTGCTCATGGCACGCAGGTGTGTTCTGGGGAGGGTTTGGAATGCAAAGAGAGCAGGCATTTAATCTCACATAAGTAGAAAATGAGCCACCTCATCCTCCTCTTAACATAAACAGCTTGAGTGGAGGAGCACAGAATGTTCAGAGTTAGAAGGGACCCACAAAGATCATCGAGTCCAGCCCTGTGCAGGTCACCCCTGAGAATTACACCATGTGCCTGAGAGCGTTGTCCAAATGCTTTTTGAACTCTGTCAGAATACACAAAGGCAAGATTCTCCCCAAAATCACACCCCAGTGCCCCTGAGAACAGCTGCACAGGCACTGAGTCAGGTTTGGCTGCTCTCTGTGCTGAAATATTTGCTGCAGATGATGCTGTGAGGAGGTGGAGTCCTCCAGCACATAGAATCAGGTTTGGGACACTGGGTGGGATGCCATGGAGCTGGACTTTGGTGAACTCTCCTGCCTCTGGGATGAGCCCTGCCAAGCCCAACTCCTCTCCTGGGGTGTTCAAGCTTGCAAGGAGCTGGGAAACCTTAGCAGATCATGCCACAAAATGTTTTTGGTGTGAGGAGTGTGATGGGCTATAGGTAGGACACAGCTCTGTCTCCATGGCATGGACTGTTTCAGTACATGGAGTATGTTCTGTCTGAAAAGTGGATCTCAGGGTCAATATTTTGTTGGGAGGCTGTGACTTTGGCAGTTAGTGCAAAAGGAAAAGCAAGCCTGGCATCCTCCTTGAGCAGAGGCTGTAGAGAGGAGGACGCGTGTGCCAAAGTCGTGTGGTATAGTGTGACATCACTTTGGGATCTTGTCTGGTGCCAGTTTTGATGGTGAACATCAACACTGGCCATCCCTACCTAGCAGTAGTCTTTGGTATTCCTTAGCTGTTCTCTGTTTCTGATTTATTTAGAGAACCCTTCTCTGCGCTGCCTTAATCCTACCCACCATGGATTTTTCATTAAAGCCTCTCCCGGCTGTCAGCATTGTTACTGTTAGTTTCTGGTTGGCATAATCCATTTTCCCATCTTGGTGTTTACTGCTTTCCTCACCCTGAGAATCAGGACAGGTTTTGAAGGACCATGGCCTTCATTTACAGTAGTGAGGTTATGATTGTGTGGCGTGTTTCCTGCATGCACCTAAGGTCCTGTGTCTCATCCACTGCCTCTCAAAGCAGCACCAGTGCAGGTGTAGCTCTTCAGTAAGTGTTTCAAAACCAATCTGAGTCTTTTATTTTTTCCTTTTGATAACAACTGGCTCCTCAAGTCTCTGAAAGGGCCAACCCCACCCTGTGCTAGTCCCGTCGAGCTCTTTTTCCCTGATGTAGACTGTTCTCCAGGCTCCCCTCAGCACCACAGATTTCATGATGGTCACGGTTAAGCTTTGCTTTTATCATGCTACCTTTGATATCAGGCAGGAGCTGAGATCACAATACTTATTAAAACCTTACCAGGAAGCTGTGTGAGATGAGGAAGCAAGGGGAGAGGCTCAGTTGCCTTCAGTTGGTGTAGGAAAGATTGTCTTGGCCACAAAGGTTGAGGTCACATCTGTTGGCCAAGAATCAGGTAGAGGTGACTTAGTGGGAAGGAGCTCTGTGTCCCAGAAGAGCATGTTGGGTTTTAGTGAGTGACTCCTTTGTCACCAAAGGTGGTGACTGATGTCCACAAGTCTCACTTAGCACAGTGTGATGCTCCCATGGGTGGCAAGGATGGATTGTGCTTGTTGTAGTCATACAAGCAATGTCCACCCATGTCCTGGGATGGGAAAAAGCTAGAAGGGAGCAACCAGATCCTTACTCACCCTTCCTTCCTCCCTGAAGAAGCAGAGGATGGGCAAGACAGTGAAAATGACCAAATGAGATGGATGCAGCAAAGATGTGGCAGCAAATTCAAAGGGAAAAGAGCCCAGAGAAAATCTGGAAAGAACAGCAAAAATT